CAAATCTCAAGAGCGATAAAGATGAGTTTGATCAACTGCTTAATATTCCTAATACTGACCTACGGATATGAATCTTGGACTCTGAGACAATCGGAGAGAAGAAAGATGGACGCCATTGAAATGTTTTGTTGGAGACGAATGTTACGAATTCCTTGGACCGACCGTAGAATAAATAATTCAATTTTAAGAGAGCTAAAAGTTAGCCAACGACTCTCTAGTAAAGTCCATCTCCAACAATTAAAATATTTTGGGCATATTATGAGAGCAAACACAGAAAACATGGAAAGACTCATAATACAAGGAAAGGTAGAAGGCCGAAGATCACGAGGAAGATCCCCAACAAGATGGATAGATCAAATTACAGGAATATGCCAAAGTCCTATGCATGAATTAAATGAAATGACCAGAGACAGAGATCTCTGGAGACGGACAATACACGACATCACGTCGACCACTACACTCCCCCTGGGGGGTCAGGATTGAAGAGAGAGAGAGAGAAATGAACTAATTATTATAATATAAGACGATATGTTTTCATAATGTTTTGATTATACACAGAGAAACTATACAAGATTAAGAAGTTATGAATAATGTGAGATTACAAATTAAGGGATTAATTTGTGATTGAACATATTGGCCACTATATAAAAGAAGCAGGCGACCAATAGAAAATAGCTAAACATATATAAAATAATAATATTATAACAATAATCTTAACACTAATTCACTCGGTTTTTGAATTATTATCTCACACGAGCAGTGCTACCTATAACTTAAATATTTAGAATTTATGCTTCAGCTAAACTATTTAATTCAATAATCTAAGCTCATTAAATGAAACTGATCTCGGAGGCACTTTCTCTAAAGTTTTACTTAAATTTGGATGTAAGACCGTATGTATTCAAGGCGTTTGATGAGGTTGAATACAAAAACCTTGCTGAGTTTGCTGGCTTTCTTGGAGTTTCGAATATATCTGACATCCCTCCTTTATTTTCATAGGTCACTTAAAAATAGTGTAATTTATTGTTATCTACTGCAAGTAGATTCCTTGGGCTAACAACGAGTGCACAACACCACCTCTTTTTTTTAGGTTTGTGTCTCTTTGAAATTTCTTCTCTAACTGCAGCAGTCTCGCATATGCTTGCTGTTTTGAGTCCCCTAATAGGCTTGTATTAGATTTGAAGGATTTTTTAAGTTCAAATTTTCCTTGGTTATCCATTTTTACGGTTCTTTTATAATATTCTTCACACTATTTTTTTTCTACTGAAAGAGTATTGCTTTGATCTACTTCTAACTTCCAGTATTTTTTTATATCTTCATCCATCTGTCGTCGATTATATCAGGCTGAGTACTTGTATATTAACGATATTCTCTTGCTGTGGTATCCCTGACATTATCCAACCCAAATTTTTATTTTGGGCGAACAAACCATTCTTTATTCGATCTACTCCGTGCAATAATATCAAACTATATTCTTTGGTTCCTAATAGAATATCTATTGAACCTGTTTCATTAAAATTTGGATCCGCTAGGACTAAGTTCCTATGGTTCCTTTCTTTTATCTGTATCTCCTTCTTCGGCGGATTTTTGTTATTTTGTGTAGTACAATTGCTTTGATCTTCATTTCAGATTCATTTTTGAAATGCGCTCAAGTTTAATGTCACGTTACATTTCGACGTCCTTAGATCTTGTTAAAAATATCATGAACGAACAACTGTAGAATTTCTGCAGGGAATGAAAAAAGCAAAGAAATAATCGGCACTTTAAAAAGAAGAAAGCTTGAATATTTTGGACACGTCATGTAATACTACAACAGTGGTAACATAATGTTACTCCAATTGTCAGAGACGAAAATTCCACTGAACCTCTAAAAATCATACGAACAAGCTGAATTTTGCCGAAAATGTTAATTTAAGGACGCTAAAAAAGATGCAAAAAGGTTAACCACTTTTACCGCCGGTCTTTCTCTATCCAGATCCAGATCTAAAACCATCTAAAATATTTAAAACTGCTAATCTTTAAATACACTAGTACGTTTTTCAAAAGATCTTATCTTCTGCTATAAATTACACCCAAAACTGTCTTCTTGGAGGCATTTCCGGTGATGTGTGACTATTTGTGATGTAAAATTTAAATTCTGCGTTTTTTGCCATATTTCAAATGCCTCATATTTGTTGTCAAAAATTAAAATAAAATTTTCATGTTATAGGTTTTAAAGAGTTGTCTCCAACAATAAAAATTTTATTGCGAACGTTCAATAAAAATAATATATTTTATTGATCTCACGAGAATCGTAAAAAGCGTAAAAGTGGACGAGCGTTTCCGTGCTTATGCATCCACACCAGCAAGTGGCTATGTCGATGTGTGTAAATACGATAGAGTCTCGCGCCCATCCAGTTTAAAAAGTCAAATGTAGCTATTTAATAAGTCCTAGATTTGATTGCCAATGGATTGTTTTGGATTTATAGTTAATACTTTGTGAAATTCCTAAATATAGAAAACCAATCATCGGTCACTTCGGCTACGTCGGAATCTGGAACGCCACAAACACCTTCACTTTTCAAAAATGAAAAGAAGGCAAAAAATCCGAATGTAAAAGTTGCTCCGTTTATCAAAAATTATTTAAAAGTTGCAGTTGCTACTGGATCGTTGGTGTAAACAAAGGGAAAAGGAGCGTCAGGATCTTCAAGTTAGCGTCTATCTCATCATGTTCTGGATATACAAATTTAGGAGAAAAATGAAAGCTGGAGGAACAACTAAACCTAAAAAAACTGCCACAGTCGCCAAACGTTCGGCAGCGAAAAGGCAAAGTCTGGCAAGAAAGTGACTAAGGCTAAAGAAGTACCATCAAAGACAGAGAAAAGCCGGCCAAGACGAAGAAAGTTAAAAAAAGTCAACTCCCAAATCTAAGCCTTCTTCATTCCCAGTTCCGACTTCCGCAGAGGCCAAAGTAAAAACACCAATCAAAGCGAAGAAATAAAATAAAGGCAGTTCTACGAAAAAAACTAACGCGTCTAAGGCTAGAAAAGCTGCTGCTCCTAAGAAAAAGTAATTGGAATAATTAATATCTTCCAATTATTAAAACAATCGTGAGATTTTATAAAAGTAATAAATTATTTTACCATAAAATACCATAAATTGTGATTGTGAAATAAATTTAATTAAAGATCATTTTCTTCTTTCTTTTCAGTATGTGGTCTTTAAAATAAGTTCCTATAAAAAAGAAGGTGTTAAAAAATAAAACGAAAAGCAGATCAAGGTAAAGTGGCAAAACAAATGACAAGAACGTTGGAAAGTCTTTTAACTGGAGATGGACAACAATAACCACAATCGTCATCATTTTCAAAAACTTCACCTGTTTAAACTCCAGAAACATCATTTGTGTCCGAAACTATTCTGCAAAAAGACCAGCAGGAAAACCAAGCAATTCCGATTGTGAAGATGAAAATATAAAAGTAATGATGAAACTAAGAGTTTTGTAAACGACACTGCATTATGGCCAGATACTTAACAGACGCCATGTGAGAGTTTTATATAAAAAATCCCCTAAAATCAATAAATGAGTCTTTGGAATCATATTCTATTATAAAAATCTTCTGCCAAAACACATAATACGAAAATTAAATATTGTCTCCTTCTGAACAATGAATAGCAGGGTAAAAGTTAAATGAGGTTATTTGGATTATATTGAAATCAACAATTTACTGTACTATTAGGCCTGTAAATTATTTTTCAAGCAAACAAAGCTAATGACAAAACAGACGAATGGTTAAAATGTACATAAAAAATTGTCAAAACATGGAAACTTCAATGACTGCAGTTAACATTAAATTTAAAACAATTTTCATCTGGAGGCATCTTGAAAAACAGACAGAGCCATGTCTATATAAAAAGAATAAGAAGAAAAAGATTCCAATTTTCGCTGACTGAAAAATAGGCCCGGAATTACAATGTTGCCTAGGGTCCAATTTAGCCCTAGTCCTCCACTGTTTAACATTGATTTCCAGGACTTACACTGATAAACTGTTTTGTATCATTTTTAGGGGTCCTAAAATTGATACTCTTCACAAAATTTTGCTTGTTCGTATAATTTTTAGGGATCAAATCCCTGACCACTGGACTATGTAGGGAAAAATAAAAGGCAAATGGAGTCATGGCAGGAGAAAAAATCCTGGTTTAAGAACTTATGAGATTCGTTGGGACTTACAACAAATGAGCTGTTTAAAACAGCTGTAAATTCCGACGATAAGAAGTTAATACAGAGGAAAGCTACACAAGAAGAAAAAGAAGGTTATAGTATAGATACGACTAATAGAATAATAAAAAAGAGGCTTACTTGGATTGTGTATAAGAAGTAAAGACATCAGAAATGCGTGAAAAATAGAGAACATAAATAAGTGGGTTTTCGAATTAACTATTTCGAAAGAAAGAATGGAATAGTGACAATAACAGAATCGCAGAAAATATATAATAGAATAGCTCAAGATGAGTCACCAGTCGGAAGAAGAAGCCTAACTCAACCTGGAAAGAAATGGAATGACAATATTCCACTAGAATAAGAGGATACCTATACTAAAGAGAAACAGACCATATGCCTACAGAAAAATAGTAGAAGAAGGAGATGCTACAATATATAGACATATTATAGATAAATAAATTATTATTATTTTATAATAACTGATTTTTGAACATATTTATAACAATAAAAATGTAAGGATATACAAATAACACATTGGACGGAAAATCATTTGATAATAGTTTATTAGCAAACTTTTTTAATTTAATAAAAGAAACTATTAGTAGCTTCTTCTGATATTCAAAAGTTTTGTTTTAAAATAACATTGTTATTAAGTAACCTTATCTACTAACAAGACAAATAAGTTCAGAAAAATCTACCTCACGATTATCGAAATATTATATAATAAAAAAATGTTAACCATGGTCTCATAGAATATTTTTATAAATAAAACCAAAGGAAACGCACAGATTAATCTACTTACCTGGAGGAAAATTGTTCGGTTTTTTCAATTGTAAAACGAGTAAAGTGATTGACAAGACCGTGATCGTAGCTATTAATAACAGAAACATGGTGCACGTGGAGCACACTCCAAAGTGCAACTGACTTGTAAGAATTTTCGGCTTGGCGGTTGGTACTCGGTATTGGTAATTGGCATTCATTTGAAATTTTGTCTATTAGACCAGCATTTGCGCAATATCTTAAATGTTATTTTATAAGTGACTGTTAAGCGAAGTTTTTTAATTCAATATTTTGATTTAAATAAATTTTAATCTAAGTCATCTATTTCTGTTTATTAATCTTTAATACATTTTAAGCTATGAGTTTTCGACTTCGATATAAATTTAAAAATTTTCCTTTAAATAAATTTTAACTCATCAGAAAATTCATTTTGAAAAAATGTTCAATCATTTTTTTTCCGTTTCTTTACGAATGTTGGTGACTATCATGATCATTTTTACGCTAATGGCAGCAGAGCATAAAAGGTCTGTAGTATTTGTTTGATTATTGTTTGACTAAATTGTGAAAATCACTACAAAAAAACTAACATTAGCTACACTCTAATCAAAGCTTTAAAAAATCTATATGAAAATTCTACATCACAAGTAAAAACTGGCAACAGGTTATCTAAAAAGTTCATCGATAACAAGGGTCTGCCGCCAAGGATGCTGTATTTCAGCAACGTTGTTCAAGATATATGTTGCAAGGAAACGTAAATGTTACGGTATCGGTATAGACCTCAGAGAGGTTTGTTTATATACCTTACAATTTGCTGATGACCAAGTGATCATACTATGTATAGCATCCTACTATGTTTTATGATATCAAGTTCCTGGTATATTCTATAGAGTTCGAAGTTGTATTGTCTTCTCCACACTCCATTGTCATTCACTGCTCCATAGATTTGCCTTAGTACTTTTCTTTTGAAACATCGTAACATGTTTTCATTATTTTTTGTTAGAGTCCAGGTCTCTGAACAATTTGTTTATATTATTGTTTTGTATTGCTTGGCGGAGGAAGGCGATGGATAGGGACGACTGGACAAAAATTCTTGGGGAGGCTACGACCTACACAGGGTTGTAAAGCCAAAATGATGATGATATTGATTTGTAGAGTTTTATTTTTGTATTTCTCGATATAATTGTGGATTTAAAGAGGACATGGAGCCCAAAATAGCATCTGTTGGGCATGCAAATTCTGCGGTTTATCTCTGCGGTAGTATTATTTTCAGTGCTAAGGAGCGATCCCAGGTATACAAATTCGTTCACTGCTTCGATGAAGTCGTTTTCTATAATAAGTAGACGTAGGATTCGTGGTTGCGTACTTATTTTTTTTTTTTTTTTTTTTTTATTTAAAACACTTATACCACATCAACCACGCAGGGTTATTAGTGGGATGACAAACACAATAGTTGTAATACAATTATGTACATTAAATAGTAAAATACAATTTGATGTCTCTTAAATAATTTAATACATTTAAATTTTTTTCTGTCAAAATGGATGTGAGGTCGTCTGGAATTCCATGCAATCTTCTTTGATTTTGGAAACCTGGGCAATCAAGCAGGAAGTGTTTCACTGTCAATGAAGTGGAGCAGTTATTGCAAATTGGCGGTGGATCTTTACTGATTAAAAATTTGTGTGTGACAGCAGTATGACCAATTCTTAAACGGTTTATAATTACTTGATCTCGTCTACTTGTGGGGTTATTCAAAGAGCTGTTCACCTTTGGGCATATTAGGTTTAATTTGGTTACTGAATTTTTCCCAGTAATTTTGTAAAATGTTATTGCAATGATCTTTAATCAGATGTTTCATGTCACTATAAGGATATTTTGTAATTTTTGTAGTATCTTCTAGGTTGATACGGCTTGTAGTTGCTAGTTGATCTGCTTTTTCATTTCCCCAGATTCCAGTATGCGATGGTACCCAAATGAAAGCTGTGTCCTTTCCCATGGAATGAAGTGTTTCTAATTCATTTTTTATTGCTTGTATAATGTGATTTATTGTATAAATTTTCTTTAATTTCAATAAAGCATTAAGTGAATCTGTAATGATGACGCACTTCATGTTGTTACTCGTTTTGAAAAAAGTTAAGGCTTTTAATATAGCTGTGGTTTCGCCTGTGAGTATACTACAATTTGTAGGTAAGTGTATGCTGTAGTAGTTTTCTTCATCAGAATAGTAAGCAGCAGCATGTCCATCTATGGTTTTAGAGGCGTCGGTAACGATTTGTAAGTAGTTGGGGTAATGTGATATGATTTCTGCAAAACGATGTTTAATTATGGAGAAGTTTGTATATGATTTGGGATACTTTTTTAGTGTTAGGTCAATGGTAAGTAGGCGAAATGTCCATGGAGAGAAGATTGCATTTGTATATAGCAATAGACTAAATTGATCCATGTTAAAATTTGTGACTTTTATTCTTTCTATTAAAGGAATACAGTTTGTTGACTTTTTAAAAGAGAGAATGCCAGGGTGGAAAATTTGAGAGAAAAGAGGATGTTGTTTTTGAATTGAAATTTTGGCAATATAGTTTAGTGATAATTGTTGTCGCCTTATGTTTAGAGGTGGCTCTTTAGCTAGAACTTGTAAACTACTAGTTGGACTAGTTCTAAATGCACCAAGTGCTAATCTTAAAGCTGCAGATTGTATACCGTTAAGCTTTTTTAAGGTAGTTTTGCTTGCAGAGTTATAACAAATGCAACCGTAATCTAGTTTACTCCGAATGAGTGATTTATATAAATTTATTAATATTTTAGTATCTGCGCCCCAAACTTTATTGGACATAATTTTGAGTATATTTAAGCTAGATTGACAGGAATGTTGTAGATTATTGATATGCATGTTCCAATTTAAGGTTCTGGTAAAAGTTAAACCTAGAAAATTTACTTCTTCTGATTGTTTTAATGCTAAATTATTTAAAGTTAGGTAAGTTGAATACCGAGATCTGTTTTTATTAAAAATTACGTAATGTGTTTTTTCTGTAGAGAAGTTAAACCCAGTTTTTAACGTCCAATTTTCAATCCGAGTTAAAAAATTTTGTAACATTTTAGTTGCTGATTTTATATTGTTTGATTTAGTATAAACTACGATGTCGTCAGCATAAAGGCTGGCTTTAATTGGTGCTCTAATTTCATCAATAACACTATTAATAGCAATTAGGAATAATGTTGGGCTTATTATAGAACCTTGAGGGATTCCATTATCTAATGTTCTTGTTGAACTTTTAAGGCCATTTATCCTAATTTCTATTGATCGACTATTTAAAAAATTATTTACAAATGCTAGTATGTTACCTTGAATCCCGTTATCGCTTAGATTTTTCAAAACGCAGTGTCTCCAAGTTCTCTCAAAAGCTTGGCTTATGTCAAAAAAATAGCAATCAATTTTTGGTTGTTTGCAAAAGCTTCATTAATTGAGGTTTGTAAAGCAACATGGTTGTCTGACGTCGATCTACCTCTTCGAAAGCCACTTTGATAAGGGGAAAGAAGATTATTATTTTCCAGGTGCCATACTAGACGAAGGTTTAAAATTTTTTCTAATATTTTACACATACTACAGGTAAGCGAGATGGGGCGGTAAGAAGTGGGCTTATCTTTAGGATTATTTGGCTTGATGATGGGAATTATTACAGCCTGGGACCAAAGATCAGGAAATTTATGTTTCAGAAAACAATTATTAAATAAATCTAGTAAAACTAGTTTAGCTGAAAATGGCAAGTTTTTTATAAATATTGGAGGTATGTCATCTGGTTCAGGCGAGGTGTTTTTTAACTCAGAAATTGCAAATTCTAATTCTTGGAGAGTTATAGCGATGTTTAAAGGATCATTGGTATCGCGTATGGTGATAATAGAGGATTCTATAGTTTCCTTGTGCGGTAACATTTCCTGAGGTATATCATTATTGCTAGAATTTTGTTGATAAATATCAGCAAATGTTTCCGCAATAGCTTTATGACAAGTAATTAGTGTTTTACCATGAGTTAAGGAGTTTATTTGTCTAAAAGAGTTGGAACCTTTGAGTTTTCGAATTTTAGACCAAATGACAGCTGAAGGGGTCGATGAATTTATAGAAGAGATATAATTTTCATTCTTTTTAAGTTTATTAAACGCATGTTTTGTTATAGATAAAGCTAGTGCGATTTCGCTGGTCCACCAAGGCACTGGTTGTCTATTACAGAGTTTAGTTTTACCGATATTAGTTAAGGCAGCTTCTGTTATGATATTATTTAAGGACCTAATGTCAGAGTTTATGTCACTGCTTAATTGAAAATTTTCAATTTTCTTTTGGATGTCGATCTGATAGGAGTTCCAGTTTGCATTCTTTATTTTCCAAGATTGATATATTGGGAATTTAGGAGATTGAGATTTATTAAGTGTTACATGAATGGGGAAATGATCACTATCGTGTAGTGATTCTAAAGTATTCCATAAGAGATAAGTTGACAATGATTGGCTACATAACGTCAAATCTATGGCGGAAAATGAGCCGTTGTAAGAGTTAAATCGGGTCGATTTTCCATTATTAAGTAGTATTAGGTCTGAGGAATCAATCAAACTATTTAATAAATTACCGAATTTGTCAGTTTTATGACTTCCCCATGCAGGATGATGGCAATTCATATCACCTAAAATTATTTTTGGGTTTGGAATTTGATCTATAAGATTTCTAAATTCTTGTAAATCGAGATCGTTGGGATGAGGCAGATATATATTGCAAATGTTAATATGTTTTTGGTAAGTAACTGTTACAGCTACAGCTTCAAGACTAGTACTTAATGCAATTGGTTTAGCTTGTATATCTGTTCTATGAAGATAGCTACACCGCCACTGGCTTGATGTGCGTTTCTGTTTTTTAGAAAACATTGGTAATTTCGGAGATTTATATTGGTATTTTTAAAATGGGTCTCTTGAAGACAAAGTATTTTAGGAGATAGTTCATTTATTAAAAGTTTTAATTGTTCAATATGGGTGTAAAACCCATTAAGGTTCCACTGTACAATAAAAGAATCTCACATTAGATTTCCGAATGGGATTGCGGTTCATCGGACTCTTCAATTGAAGATGTTTTATTGGGGTTTAGTTTTTTCTTTAAACAGGTAATGTTGTTTTTTAGTTTTGAATTGTGGATATAACAATG